CTGAGCATAATGTTCTCAAGGTCCATCCATGGCATTATTTCGTCCTTTCTTACGGCTGAGTAGTGTTCCATTGTGTTAATTTGCATATCGCCCTGATTAGCCAATGGGAAGGATAGCAAAGTTACGGTTAATTACCATGTTTGTCTATTATTAGATAGGATAATGAACAATATAAACTGATGAACAAAAACAGATCAAGACACAGAGAATCACTGATCAGAATGTCAAACCTCAGAGGGAAGGTAGGGGAGGGCGGGGGTAAGGGGCAGAGATCAACCAAAGGACTTGTGTACATGCCTATAAGCCTAACCAATGGACACAGACACCAGGAGGGGTGAGGTCATGAGTCGGGGGCTGGAGGGCACTGGGGGTATAAGGACACATATGTAATACCTTAATCAATAAAGAAATGAAAATCAAATAAATAAAAACTGCAATACTTGCGGGGTGCAATACAGTGAGGTGTGCATGTACTTTGAGACTTTCTAGTGATCATTAAAGGTGAGATAGTAAAAACATAAGTACAGTTCTCTTGGGCTTGGAGTCAAACTAGAATAAGCTAAATTTTACTTAATGTGATTTATCTTTAGAATGTGATATGTGTTATATATCTGTGTGTATGTGTTTACAGATATTGAGATCAGAAAATGGACTTTAAAAAGCCTTTGTGCTTTCTTTTAGCTTTCTATCCTGATGGTTTTAACATATACCAAAAAGTAGAGAGAATATTCTGTAAATGAACTTCTATGTACCCTCACCCAACTTCAAGAATTATCCGTATTCTGCCAGGCTTATTTGAAAGGGAGAACAAAGCAATACCTTCTAGTTTTCTGAACAGTATTTTCTGAGTAGAATAGTGTAGAAACCCACTCTACCGTAACTTAGATACCGAGGAAGTTGTATGATTAGATATAACCTTGTTAGACTCTTAAGATAAACATTCTTTGCACAACAATTAAAGAACAACCTAAGTAGAAAGTAGCCGTGCTTTACAGTTTATTTACCTGGATTGGTCTTGTGTTCTGTTTCTTTCAAGGTGGAAGGCACAGCGTATCTAAGTTCTTTTCTGTGGAAAACTAAAAACCTCGGGCTGTGGGAACAGCCTCGAGGGGAGAACCTGCTCGATGGTGGGGCCCCTTTCTACACAACGTACAGGACGGCCGACGGGGAGTTCATGGCTGTTGGCGCGTTAGAACCCCAGTTCTACCAGCTGCTGGTCAAGGGTGGGTAACTGTCCTGTGCCTCCCGCCCCTTATGGCTGCGCTTCAGCCGCTCTCTCAGGGCCTTTTGAAGTTCATGATGTCTTTTACTACATATTCACTTTATGATTAACCTAATCACAGCCATCATTCTACTGTGGGGTATTTCCCCCATCTTTTAAATTGACAGGTAATTTTACAATTCTATAAAATAGCTCAGATTTAAAAAAAATAATGCTCTCTTTTGTGGGAGTTCGGTGTGTTTCTTACATTTTGTGCTCTGTAGTGTTAGATATTTATCTTGCCCTTGTGTGCTGTTATCTCTTCTTCCCTAGAAATGGCCTGCTAGCCATCCTGTCCTGGATAGATGTCCCTCCTGACACCTCAGTGGAGGGTCACCAGAGCACGGAGCGACTGGTGACTGGGATTTGTTGGAATATGTTACTATCACTTGATGGTTCTGCAGTTTACCTGTCGTGCAGATTCTTGTCTTGTTGGCATGCTACCACAAGTTAGCAAGAAAGTTTGTGATCTCTTCTTTCCTGGTTAAATAATTGAACTGAAGTTTTTTTGTTCCTGTGCAATGTTTGAATTTAAAGTTTACAGATAATTTAGGATCTAAGAAGTTTTAGAATATACTCTGAAGTGATGTGACAAACTGGTCACAGTACATTCCTCTCAACTTTAGAGTTTCACTGTTATGTATAGTAGCTTTTCAGATGCAATGTACTACTCAAAGTTACTTGGATATAGCTGCAATGACTGTTTTTGCCAGCATTAGAGAGCAACTTCTGATCAACTACATTAACTTCACCAACTTAAATATAGTTGAAAAAAACTGTAGAACCGTTTTTTAAGCATTACAGAATCTATAAAGTAAGAAATAAAAAAATTCTTTCTTGTCTTTCCACTTGGGGTTAGTTTGGGATGTGGCCTTCTAGTCCTTTTTTTGTGTACATACAAACAAAACTATTTTCTTTTCAATTTATAATTTACATATAATATATGCAATTATATAAAATTATAAATAATAGCCATCTCCTTTTATTCAACAACTAGAGGCCCAATGCACAAAATTCATGCAAGAATAGGCCTTCCTTTCCCCAGGGCCGGCACCGGCTTCCCTCTGGCACCTGGGACCTGGGCTGCCCTCACAGCCCTGGCTTTGTCTGGAAGGTCTCCGGAAGGACATCTGGTCTAATTAGCATGTTACACTTTTATTATAGACATAACAAAGGCATCATTTCTTGTCAATATGAAAATTCTTCATCCTGCATTTTCAGAGCAGCTTACAGTTAGTTGTTCTTTAACATGGTGGAGAAGGAAAGGGTTATGAAAATGAGAATTATTTGATCAACGTGGCTAAATTTACACAAAATATGCAGAAGAAGAAGGGGCTTTTATTATTATTTCACCCTTAAACTTCCACACTAAAAAACGCTCTTTTGTGAGGGAATAAATGACATTTACACCAAACCCTAGTCAAGTGGCGGTTTTGGGTATAATTTAATCAGCACTGGAGTCCTGTGGGGTAGGAGCTTGTCAGTGAAGGAAGTGTGAGCCAGAGGAGCCATCCTTCCTGTGCCTCCCCAGCAGGTGCCTTCATCCTTTCTGCCTGCGCGGGGTCGGGGGGTGGGGGCGCCCTCCTCGGCCCTTTATGCTCAAGAGCAAAGTCTGGGTGCCCCACCCGTGACTGGACGGCCGGTAACCCCTGTCTGTTTGCTGTAGGAAAGTGCAGTGAGTCTTGGATACTTTACAACTTTTTGGTTCCTTGTTCACAGTGCTCTTAAGGGGATAATGAATCAACTATCACTGTCCTCCCAGAACTCTTCCATTTGATTAAATACAGAGAAATGAATACTATTCATAAAATTGTGATCTTGAATTTGATCATTTATTGTTAGGCCTCTTCCTTGAAAACTGAGGCAGACAGGTGTAAATTGTTTAAATTTTATCTTCTGTAGGGTTCGGAGCATATGTACATTACGAGGTGACTTTAGTTCAGTCTGACAGATAATAATATCATGAGGAAATTTCTTCTTGAAATCCCATTCAGAGGGAAAATAGATATTTGAAATTAGACTGTTTTTTTTAAATATATTTTTTATTGTTGATATGTGACCCCCCCCCCCTGCCCCCGCCTTACCTCCCTAGGCTACTTTTTTTTTTTTTTTAATATACTCTATTGATTTTTCACAGAGAGGAAGGGAGAGAGACAGAGAGCCAGAAACATCAATGAGAGAGAAACATCGATCAGCCGCCTCCCGCACATCTCCCACTGGGGATGTGCCCGCAACCCAGGCACATGCCCTTGACCGGAATCGAACCTGGGACCCCCCAGTCCGCAGGCTGACGCTCCATCCACTGATCCAAACCGGCCTCGGCCCTAGGCTACTTTTGATGAAGTGTAAATAATAAAACCCTGGCATGGAAAGTCTGTTTTGAATCCTGCCACTCCTACTACTTCTGTCTTCTCCAGCCTTGGGCTCCAACTGCGGGCGGAGTTTGAATTTCCTCTCTTGGCCCATTTGAGAAACCTTTATAGAACATCCTATTGGGGAATGTAAGCTTAAAGCTCTTTTTTGTTTTTTATAATCGTTCCACCCAAAACATAATAATTTATGAAATTGTGTTTTTCCTCTCAGGTCTTGGGCTAAAATCCGACGAACTTCCCAATCAGATGAGCATGGCTGACTGGCCAGAGATGAAGAAGAAATTTGCAGCTGTATTTGCCACGAAGACAAAGGCGGAGTGGTGCCGGGTCTTTGACGGCACAGATGCGTGCGTGACTCCGGTTCTGACTTTTGAAGAGGTTGCCCATCATGCTCACAACAAGGAGCGGGGCTCATTCATCACTGATGGGGAGAAGGGTGTGAGTCCCCGCCCGGCGCCTCTGCTCTCAAACACCCCAGCCACCCCTTGTTTGGAAAGGGATCCATTGATAGGAGAACACACTGAAGAGATACTTAAAGAGTTTGGGTTCAGCCAGGAAGAGATCAATCAGCTTTACTCAGATAAAGTTATTGAAGGTAAAAAGCTGAGAGCTAGTCTCTAAGTCCCTCAGCACAAGGGAGTCCGAATACTGCATATATAGAACGATACATACAGATGTGTGCATGGGAACATGAGCGGACAGGCCCGCAGCGTTCCCGCTATTCTGATTAAGAAACAGTAATGATCCGTCCTGAAAATGATTAACACCAAGTGGCTTTTGATTTAGGAATGTTTTTAATTTACCTATACTAAATTATGGCCCTCTTTCTACCTTGACAGATTATATTTGTTGATATTAAAACACTTAAATATTTATAATATACTTTAAATGAATTAATATAATTTTTTATTAAATAAAGCTTTTTTTGCCCTAAACTTTACTTGTGAACTTTTAAGTCTGAAAAACTTTCAAGAAAGTCCTATGAAGTAGCACTTAAATAGCTTATTGTGACTCACTGAAATGGTTTTGGTTCTACTGTTTACCAAAACGAATGTCTTTGGATAGAAAAGTCTGATCCTTTTAATTTGATAAGGAAGCTATTCAGCCAGTCTTGAAACTTCCTTCGGATCGCCCACCCCTGCCTCAGACCACCCTCCTGAGAGCCTGCCTCCCCCGTGCGGTCGCATTAGCGTCAGCCACAGGTGGCCCTGACTCAGTCAATGGCACTGTCATCCACCTGCCGGGCCTCGCAGACTTCTCCTCTTCACCAGTTTCTGGTTCCCAGTCCCATCGCGTCTCCCTCTGCCCCTGTAGGTCCTGGCTTACCCCTCACTTCCCTTAGGCCATTCCCCTTATGCCACTTTACAGAAGTCCTTTACTGACCCGTCTAAAGTCACAGCCACGTTATCCCTCGCTGCCCCCCCCGCCCCGCACCCCGCCCCAGTTTTACTTTTCTTCACAGCACACATCACTGCTAACCCCAGCCCTCACTCCCTCTGAAGCACTGCATGCTAGATGGGAAGCTTTATACAGCATCTGTAGGGTTTATTCATGCTAAACCCCCCGCTCCTAGGACGGTGCCCAGCCCATGGTGGACACAGGGAATATGTATTAAAGGAATGCAAGTCAGTAGCGATGTGCAGCCAGTCCCACCTCCACAGCCCTGGTGCCCAGCCCCCTGCCCATTGCTTCCTCATTCCCGCCCTGTCACTGCTTCCCTGGACTGCTGCACAGCTTCCTATTCACTTTGACTTCCAGTGTCATTGCCTTCGTTTATTTCCATCGTGGTTTTGATGCCAGGCTGGTCTTCTCAGGCCTGGAAAAGTCTTCAGTGATCCTTTTTTCTTATGGGATAAAATGCGAACGCATTCATATAGCACATCAACCCTTTATTTGTCATAAGACTTCTACCTAGTTGTCCGGTCCCATCCATGCCCCGCCCCTCCCCAGCACTTTATATTGGACTGCCCAGCGTTTCTAAATGTGCTTCCTTCCTTTCCATCGCTACACCGTTTTCTAGGACTCAACAATGCTCCTGCTCCCTTTTGCTCCAGCACAATGACCTAGCAAACTCAGAGTTGGCTCAGACACAGTCTTCTAGTGCAGCTTCCTTCATTTCTCAACCCTACGGTGGTTTTGTATAGTGATTATGTGCTGGGAGCCGGTCCATCCTTGCTGTTTCAAGGGACCTGGCATATATGGCATACTGTTCTTAATATGTTTGCTCACTTTCTTGGCACTATGTGTTTTAACCAAGGTCACCTCTCCGAGAAAGGTTGTTTCCCCAGGTAGAGATTTTCCCCTGAAGTCAGGGAGGGGGTGAAACTCCTTAACTAAGTGCCAGGCGGGTAGTTAATCACTTTAACTACAA